TTTTTTTTTCCTTAAATGGCTGTTTTGGGTGTTTGGAGCATTTAAATAATTAAAATAATAAAATATTAATTGTTTTACTAACTAACAATTAAATAAAACAAAACCACCATTAAAATAAGAGATGAGATTATTGTCACATCTTAAATTGTTAATGTCATATAATTGTCAATTAAAATAAATAAGTGCAACATGAGTAATCAAACATGTTGCAATGATATCTTTAGAGATAAAGATGGAGGTAGGTAAATATGGTAATATATTAGGAATAAGAATAAACAAGGAATAGGAATAAATGCTGAAACTTATCCACTTAATTTAAGGGGAACATCGCGCTTCAAAGTTGCTTAATTGCCATCTTCAAGTTTGGAGTATCACAAGTCCTTGGTTTCAGTTGGTTTGATGGAATAAGGTATATGAGAAAACCACCCTTTCATTTATTGGACCAAAAAGACAAGAAAAGTTATATTGGAGGTGCGTAATTCATGAAGAGAATAGTGGTTAGGGAGGTAATTCTTATTCGTGCTTAACAAAATAACATACCAGTTAAGGCATTTCATGTGCATTACAACAGCAAGAGCTATAAGCATAATAATTCCCATCCTCGGGATGTACAAAAAATAGGGGAAATAAAAATGGATCCCCTAAAGCTTTAGTCACTTACATCTCAATGAAGAGAGGGAAAAGGTCAATAAGTACCAACCTGGGTTATAATTGCTGCATCAAAATGTACCAATTGTTGTCCAAAGTTATTTTTCAACCTCACTTCAATTCAGCCGGCATTTGTAAAAACCTCCACCCTGAATATGTGTCAGACAAGATCAACTATTTAGAAAATTTTTAGAGCATATATAAGTGGAATGTGCATATAATAACTCATGAATCCATATTATGATTACTGGTTACTGGATTCCAGAAAATGAGTGGAGAGGAATAAGTACCAAATTTATATTCTGGCAGCAAAATTCAGACCAGACCTTGCAAAATTAAGTAGCTGGTCTACACAACCAGGAAATCCACTTCATCTGAGCTTTCCTCGTAAATTACAAAACCAGGATCTTGAAACTCCTCACTACCACTACCCTGATCACTATTGTAGCTGCTCTCTGATGAACTCATGAGCAATGAACCATCAGATGTGTGACTGCTCAGCTGGGATGGAAGGCTGACCTCACTATTTATATCACTATCAAACATGTGTTCTATGTCAACAAAACTGCAACACCAAGAAACTGAAATAATATTAGCAACTGTGTCTGTAATTCAAAAAGCTTTCTAATTTCTTCTATTTTACTTCTTTTTCTAAGAAATGAAAATGACTCCAAACAAACTGACGAACAAACCAACCTTCCTTCTGATGGAAACTCTGCCAGCAAACAGATCTCAGGTCTCACTTCTGACACTTGCTTTAAAGGAATAATACTGAAGATATGCACCAAACTACCAAAGTTAGATGTTGAATGATTGGCGTTAACACAACTTCAAGAAGAATATATATTACCTTGAGTTGTAACATCTTGAGTACCAGTCACCTTCTGAAGCTAGACCTTCTCTGTTGGATATGTCCTATAAGATGGTAGTAATCAGAAACAAAAGAAAACTCAGCATCAACAGGATCATTAGAATCACATTCACATGTCAACAACTTTTATCCACTCACAAGATGTCGGAGGTACTTGAAGTCTCCTGCAAGCACTGCTGTCAAAAAACGAGCAACTTCCACCTGTACATGATATATCAGGAGAGAGAGAAACATGAGAGCGGTGTTTGTTGTTCTGCCATGCCCTTCCAGGGATTGGGAGAGAAGAAAGAAGAGTGGGGATTGTAGAACTGACCTCTTTGAGGTGCATGCAGTCCCTTAAAATTAGAACCTCCAGCAGATTTCCACCTGTACTGCTTCCCAGATTCCTAAAGGAAAAAGAATTAATAATTAATAAGATAGCATCTATGATGAATTTTTAATATATACCCAGTAAAACAATTTCCAGCAGATGGAAACATTAGAAGAGGCACAGACCTCAAAAAGGTTCCGGTTATTGAATAGGATGTTGAAAAATCAGCATACTTCAACTTACGGAGTCCCTGCACAAGAAGTCAGGAGAATGCGAATCAAGTTCAGAGGCAAATCAGAGACTACTACTCATTATATCACAATTCATATTATAGAAATAGAAGAACTACATATTCTAGTTATAAAGTGGCAATGCATCAGCTATTCAAAAGCTGAAAGATGGAGAGATAATCAATATGCAGAGAAAAGAAAATTACCATTAGGTGAAAATAGATATTATACTTGGAAAAAATGTCCAGGAAACATAATATTTCAATCTTCGTAGAATAGAGACGGTGGTTAATCAGGCATATAAATTACAAGAAATCTAGTTTTCAAATTATCTAGTGAACTCACATAACCTTTGAATGTAAAACAAGATTTTGTATAAAGTTCATTTCATTGTAGAACCCCTTCTTCAAGTACAAATTCTAAATGAAAAGCATTTTCTACTAAATAAACTTAAACATCCCTTTTAGCCCAGAGCAACACTTTCAAAGAACATGAAAGAAATACTGACAGTATAGAATTTAATTAGAAGCATCATCTAACAAGAAGCAATTAGATTTTAACTTGTATTTGAAAATTGGGGTAAAAGTTTAAGCAGACAAACTCCAACAAAAGATTTTCAGAATAAAGACATTCTTAACAAGTCAAGGACTTTTTGACAAAATAATTGCATTCCATTATCCAGGCACATACCTTAACTAGTATTCGAACTTTATAGTCATGCAGCTTAAAACCTCTAAGTGACAATGAAGTAAGCTTTGGACAATTGTTCACTAAATCAACACAGGTTGGTGATTTCAAGCTGTCATCTCTTCCTGTTTTAGACACTACATAGTTAGTGGCAAATCCTAGAGCATTAAAGCGGAAATGCCCAAGAAGAAGATACCATACCTGTTTTGGATGACTCAAAGAACAGACGCTCTATCAAGTGACAACTTGTGCTCACAGACGTCAAAGTTTGCCTCAATTCGACGTGACTGCATAAAAAAATCATAAGGAGGTGTTAGTTAGAGTCTTAAACAATAAGGTTGCTAATTCAAAATCCATAAAGTAAGAGAAAAAAAAAGTATACTATCCAAAAATGATATCCTCCATTGGCCAAAAAAAAAAATGATATCCATCAAGAAGCAAAAGGAAAACAGAAGAGGGATGACAACCCTGTCAATCACTTGTAGTTGAAATTATCATTGACAATTTGCCAAGCGAGCCAGGGGAAGAATCAACATATTCAACAATTCAGTAAAAAGAAACCTTTAATTAACATGCAAATGGTATACCATCATCAGCTCAAGCACTTCTTTAAAAAATGTGTACATTATGCCTATGGGTGTATTTATTCTCCATATTTGACCTTTCATATGGAGAAGCATTGTGTCCCATAGATTATCATTCATCAGAAGAAACAAGTTCTGTCCTGAAACCTAAAATGAATCAAAATGAACACAAATGAAAACTAGGTCAGAGAAACTTACAGGCCCACAATCTCCAAATCAAGAAGATATGGGCAGGCTGATAATGCCGCACAAAGTGATGCATTATCCATTCTTTCAATGTTGTAAAGGTGTAACCTTCTCAGAAGAGCCCTGGTCCAATGGAAAAGCATGTAACGAACATCAAACCATCTACTATACACATTAAATTCACAATATGTCATAGTTTTGGAATATACCCAGCAGCACCATTGTCCCCACTTATTGGGTTCAAGCAGGACCTAGAAAGAATGGATGATTCCTTCCCTTGTCTAGTCTTTTTGTCATTCCATGAGAAGTTAGATACATCTACAGAATTTCGGATAGTGTAGACTAAAGGTTGACAGGATCCAGGACACGTGGTTGGGCCCGGCACAACACCAAGCTTAAGAGATCTGAATAATCATTTAAGGAAAACAAATAAGCGATGAAATCTAATAAAAAAAACAACCATATGATAATGCAAAGCAAATAAAACAGTGGCCAAAACCCAAAAGAAGAAAATAAGCTAACTAGCTTAGCTTAAGTCATAATTATAAACTATAATGCTTTTTTTTTTTTTTTTTTCTGCCGAAAATGATATTGCAACCCAGTTTATAATTAGAGAATTTCCATCAATAACCAATGCGCAAATCTTATCCACAATCTAGTAATTGATACAACAAGAGACCTTGGATACAATCTATCACGGAGTGCATGCAATCAACATATTCATCAAGTGATCAAACAAAGCACAATGCAAACATAACATGAACAGATCAGATTTATCAAGGCATGCAATTCATCAAAATCTCATCCACGCTCCAAAAAGGATAGTGCTAAAAGAAATCAGAGTTCATATACAAAAAGCTTCTTACTGAAGTGCTTTTCCAGCTCGTTGGATCATAGTAGACACAACCGCATTATTAACCTTAGGCACAACCGTCGTCAAATCAATGTTGGCGTAGCACGAAGGATCCATTGCACATTTGTTGAACAAGGAACACGTCGCTGAAGCATAGCAAAGGCTCTGCGTGTCTAGCATTGAAAACACCTGCACGGAATCACATCTCAATTCTCAAACCAATATCATCACATAACTGAATCAAGAAAAAAATCAAAAGTGTCCGTCGAAATGGTGAAGAATTAAAGTACCTTGATGGTGAGGTCGGAAGGGAGAGCCCATGCGAGGGAATTGTGAACCGAGGCACGTTTTCTAGCAGACCGATTCGCAGCGTTTAGTAGAAGAGATCCAAGCTTGTGCGCACGATCGATTAGGAGGGACTGATCGGAGTCAGAGGAGCAGGATTCGAGGAGACGGTCGAAGGAGAGATCGACGGAGATGGAAGTGGAGTCGTCGGCCAAGGAGAGAAAGGAATGGAGGAGTTGGTCCATCTGAGAGACATGAGACGGCGGCTGCAGCGGCGGCGGCCTAGGGTTCTGAGAGGTGGAGGAGGAGGAGGAGGAGGAGGAAGGGCAGGGGCGTTTGGCCATGGAGGTCGGCGTGTGGAGGAGGGTATCCATAGTGGGTGGTGGTGATGGATGTGAGGGAGAGAGGTGGTGTGAACTTTTTTTTGGCTGAGAGAGATTTGGGGGGTGAAGGTGGGAGGGGAGGACACGTGTAGGTGTAGGTGTAGGTGTACGTGGAGTAAGAGCATGTTTGGGTTAATTTATTGTAATTTCAGTTTTTGATATTATTTACAGTTTTTACTTTTAAATTTTTTTAATATTAAAAAATCCTAAATAATAAAAAGTTCAAAAAGTTTAAATTTTTATTTTTTATAAATTTTCTTACTCATTTTTTTATCTTTAAAAATAATTTTTAAATTTTTTTTAATAAAAATTTAAATTTATTACTCATAAACAATTTATAAATAATATAAGAAGATAAAAAATAAAAGTTCATAAAAGCTAACCAAGCAGGTTAAATCCGACTTTTGGAGTGATGGGGGAAGTACGAATTCTCAGGTGGCTTTATCATGGCTCCTAATTATTATATTATGTATTTTATTAGATTTAAAATTAGTTGTTTGGAGCTGCTTATATCGTACGATCAAACTGATCGAATCTTAGAAAAGAGGCTCAATGTAATAATTTAATATTTAGAAGTTTGAACACGTGGCGTTGTTGTGGCGAGCACCTCACTTCCTGTGTATTTTTATATGTGTTATTTATTTTAAATAGAATTAAACAATTAAATAAATAAGAATTTTGTGGGGAAACAATTCTAGTTTGATGTAAATAAGAGGAAAACCCAATGCCTGAGAGAATATCACAAATTTGAATGGGAATGCGAATATTTGCATTACTATAATTTCCCACTGACATGAAATTTAGAGGTTACGAGAATATTAATTTGATTGCATTTGGATCGTATCACTCAATAATTATATATTTTATTATAAAAATATGTTTCAATTTTAAAATTAAAATTCAAAATTGTCACCTCAATTGTAATCCATTCAAAAAAAATTTGAATAAACTTTTGTTAATTTTTTTTATATACCTAATTATAAATGATTTAAAATTTAAATTTAAAATTTAAAATTTAAAATTTTTAATCATTAAAGTAATAAATTACTAAATTTTTGTTAGATAGATGTAGGCATTTACGCTTTTCATTCCATTATGGCTATGTATAATGTCATGTTAAACCACATTTTTCCTGGTTGACGTCTACAGAAACATCTATCAGTTTGCTCATTCATACCGAATTTAAACATTTCATGAACTCTAGAGGTGGATAAAATACACAACCAAAGAAAAAAAATTTAAAAGATAAAATTGATAAACATCTACCTGTCTATAATCACACAACAATTACTATCAGCGTTGCATCTTACAGATCATAGACTTGTTTCCCAGTGAACTTAACTTCAATGGGACTAACATTCTTCCCAATTGATCTGAAGTTCTGCCCAACTCCTTGTCGCCCTGGATTCACCTTCTCAGGATAAATCCCATCTTTCGGATGAAGGTACTGAACTTCTCCATTCGGGAACACTCTGTAGAACTGGTACTTGATCTTGTACTTGGACCTCAATCTGGTCCCAAGTGCCAGGCACTGCTCTTTCCTAGCCAGCTTCAGCAGGTTAGGTCCTTGCCTCATGATGGCTGCACCCCCAGTTGGCATCTCGAAGATCTGTTCCTTCGGGGAATCCCAAATGATCACGTAGAATTCCTCCACCTGGGCCTTCCTCAGCAGCCCCCCGGTGCTTCCTCCAAAGATGGGTGACGGAGTGTTGGGATCTAATTCTGGAGGGGTGAAGCCTACAGGAGCCTCCTTTGCAGGGGCGGCCTCAGTTTTCCCCTCTGCAGCTGCAGCTTTGATGGTTCTGGAGAAGGAAAAGGATTTGGTGGTGAAGGAAATTGAGGAAGACGGCTTCCATGGAGCCAGAGGGAGATTGCTGGACTTTGGGGTTGTGATTGCAGGTGTTAAGAGGGCTGCAGCTTGGGCTGCCATGGCGGTTAAGGACAGGTAAGTGAAGTTGGCTGCTGTTAAGAGATACAGGGAAATAGAAATCTGTGTGATGATGTAAGAGAGGACGTTGGATGAGTGATGCTGTTCAGGTTTGGATCTTTGGATACGCTATGCTTACTTGGACCAATAGGATGCTTGATTTGATACTTTGTCTTACCCATGTCATCACAACCTGTTTCTCACCTTTACTTCTCATCTTCTTTTCCTTTTTTTTTTCTAAATGAAAAATCTAAGTTTTTCAATCGAACCCCCAAGACATTTAACAAACATAATGTTACAGTTAATCATGTAGAAGTTAACTAGATATCCTTTGGAGCAGGCATTAGCCTAAGCCTGTCCTCTGAGGGCTGATTACCGCCGGGAGTCCTCTCTTCGGCTAGCAGTGACTGCAAATCGCTACCATTTGCCAAGCTGTTGAACTCAACTGCTTTGGATGGAACAGTTGGATAACGTCGTTGGCTAAAGGTCATTAATCTTTTGACAGATTGCAAGTACTTGCGAGTTGTTTCATCGTTCATAATGTGGGCAACACTGTTGGTGTAGATCTTTTCACGAGCTGAACGTTCGTGGATACCAACCATAGTGACACCAATTGGCCAGGGTGCATTGCCAATGGCCATCCTAATGTAATGGTCCATGGCAGCTAAATAGTCTCGCTTCATGCAGCATTCAACAACCAAAAGTAAAGCTTGACGGATATCATCAGGAAGAACCTACAAGCGGAATATAGCAAAATTAGATTCATTATGTTTTCATGAATCAAATGTTAGAATTGCAGATCAATGCATCAACATGTAGAAATACAGACAGACACACATACAAACCACCACACACTAGTATGCCAATGCCAATCATAAAGCATGCCTTTGTTTTTCCTCTGATCAGAGAGGAAAAAGCACTATTGTTGACATTAAAAAGCCATGCACTGCTTTCTAGTATAAAAACCCTGCAAATTTTCATGCAATATCATTTGCCAATCTACCAAGTACCAACAAGGTATCCATAAAAAAAAACAAAAATAAATAATAAATAATAAATCTACCAACAAGTTACACATCATCACCTTCCTAGTTCCCATCTTGATAGATTATGCAGAAATAGGCAATCTTTATATTTTCTAGGTATATTCAATTGTTGGCTAAACAATAGGGCAGAGGCCTCCCTTTCCCATTCCCCATCCCAACTTGAAACTTGAGACCTTCAACTTGCAAGCTATCAAGCTGTCCCCCCAGGGGATGTGGCCAATCCATCTTTAACCTTCCAGTATACTATTGAAAACAACTCCAGGTGTCTGAAACTAAGAAAGCAACTGCCCTACAATAATGCCAAGTACAAAACCCATAAGCATTCTAATGCTTCAAACATTTAGTACAATCCCACAGGATTTTGCACCCAAAGTCTACCTCCTCCAAGGATACTTATTTCCTTCCATAGCCTACACAACTATTCTACATGCTTTTATAAATAGGTTTAATTGAAGTTATTATCAGTTCTTTCTTAAAATTAAAATGGCTTTAAATACTCCATTCCAACCACATATCCACACATGGCATGATAATGAACTTGAAGAAAAGCATTAAGTTACGAATTTATAACCTTCACTCACATTCCTACCAAACAACCATTGGCAATCTCTTAACCTAGCCACTAGATACAGAAGACATAATCTCACAAACTTAACATCTACTTGTAGCTATGAACTATTGAATTTCCCATCTGGATTATTCTTCTTCGATCATTTACCTCTTGGTTATTTCATTCACTCAAAGAGCAAAGTTTGATTCTTGTATTACAAGTTCTGCTCAAAATTTAATATTCACCACCGCTACCATCTAACACTTTTTAACTGAAGCACAAAACTTCAATTAACATATGTATACCCCTATTGTTGCGTTTTGCAGCAAAACAATGTAAGACCAATGAGACAGCACAGCATTAAAACAATGTAATTTCTTGAAATCAGAATAAAGAATACTCACCTTTTTCCTACAAAACTTGAACAATGGATTCAAATACCGAGCACACTGCTTAAAAGTGGCGACCATGGATTTCCCTTTAGCCGTCCTCTTCTCAGCCTCTGGCAACTCATCCAGCTCCTGATTCCATTCATTCAACAACCTCTTGAAAAACACCAAAATCTTATCCTCATCACACAACTCATCGAAATTGGCCTTCATCCTTTTCAAATCCTTATCCATATCGACCCCACTCGACCCACCATCACCACTCAACTCCTCCTCCCCTCCAGCTCCCTCCCCATCCTCTCCTCCGCCTTCTTCCCTATCCTTCCTCTTCCTGTCGCTCAGCATCCCCGTCTTCTGCCGCTTTCTCAGCTCCACAATGTCTCTCAAGAAATCATTGGTCTGACCTTCCGTCATATCACTATCAACCTCAAAAAGCCCAGCTTTCAAGACATATTTTAATCTGTCCAGACGAGCAGCATCGTCTTCACCAAAGAGCGTGATAGGTTGTTTAAGGAAGCGGAGCCGACGGATAACTTCTTGCTTCGGGAGGTCCAGGTTGTCAATATTCTGCTCGTCGAGGAGGGATTTGCTCGAAGCGGCGGTCGAAGAGGTGGTAGTGGCGGCGGTGCTGGAGGCAGAGGGGTTTGATTTGCTGGAAGTTGTGGCAATCGAGGAGGAATTTCCGGATTGGCGGAGGGCTTTGGCTTCGAGTTCGCGTTTCTCTTGCTCCCGGAGCTGTTGGATGCGTTTCTGCTCGATTTCGGAGCGCTTGAATACGCGCTTGCCGCCAGTTTCCGCGGCCAGACTCTGGCGCTTCTTCAGAAGTTCTTCTTTCAGGAGATCCATCTAAATTCGACTCTGGCTTCCCTACGGCTTGATCTTCTTGACTTCTAGTTCGAGAGAGAAGAAGACGATGATCGAGCGGAGCACCACTCCAGGACAAAAAAAATAAAAAGGGGAGTCCAACTCAGTTTCGGGTTTTCATTTCACATATGGGTTGGTATCGGGTTCTGGAGCAAATATGAAGCCAGAACCGGGTAGGGTCGGTTCGGAAGGAAAGGAAAACCATCTTTTTTTTTTTCTCCATTTTTTGACGAAAAAAATAAAATTAATTTTGACTCTTTAATCAATATGACATTTTAAATAAAATTTTAGATTTTATTTTAAAAACCATCCAATCACATCCATGATTGGAGTCGTTTGAACTGATTTTTTTTTAAAAAATAAAGAGAAATAATTTTGGAATAATTTTTTTTTATTTTTTGGTGTAATTTTTTTATATTAATTTTTGAGATAATATTTTTGTATTATTTTTTGATATAATCTGACGTGTCATTTAAATGATTAGTTCTTTTAATTCATATGAAACTTGTGATATTAAATGTATTTATTCATTTAATGATACGTGAAAGTTGTATCAAAAGATGGTATAAAAAGATTATCTTATAACACCGTCTGAAAATAAAATACATTTATCATTTTATAATTGGGTGATGCTATAGGAATAACATTTTTATGTCACATTTTGATACAATTTTCACATATCATTAAATAAGTAAATGCATTAAATATCATGGGTTTCACATAAATAAAAAGAATCAATCATTTAAATGACACATCAGATTATATTAAAAAGTGATAAAAAAATTATTCTAAAATCATTTCCCTTTAGAACTACGTAGGGTATTATAATTTTAACAATATAATATTACGTAAAATTATAAATTTATAATAATGAGGTAATATCAAATTAATATAATGTAATATTAAATAAATATATATAATATTATGAGAAAATTTTTAAATATAAAAAATTAATTATATAACAACATATAATATTATAAATTTACAATAATATTGTAATTATAGCATTTTCACTACAACTTTATTTTACAAGTAAAAGTAAAAGCTTTTCATTAGGTTTATTTTTCCTTTCTTTGGTAAGTTCTTACTTTTTAAAAGAAAATTGTGTAATTATTTTTAATTATAAATAATAATAATGATTAATTATTAAATATAAATTATTAACTATTAACCGAAAGCAAATTTGAACAGTAATCCTAACCCCTTATTTTCTTTTAAAGACTCAAATTAAAGCAAAAAGGAAGAGGAAAAATTCAAGACCCAAATCCAAGTCCATACCCGTCTAGAAACCGACCTGAATCCAATATATGAGGCCCAATCAAAAGGTCCAGCAAGGTCCAATTTTGAAACTCAGCCCACATGATCATTTTTTGGAGAAACGGACTTGCAGCAGTAGCAAACATTCTTACCCTGGCGGTGACTGGTTCTGGTGACCGCCCGGCGACAAGAGAAAGCTCCGGAGACATGACGACGATACGCAGATTCTGCTGCAACGACCTTCTCCGTTTTGCTTCCGTCAATCTTGACCACTTGACGGAAACCGTAAGCTCAACTCTTTTCTCTCTTTTCTGATTAATCAAAGAAAGATTCTGTCTTTGCATTGTGTATTTGTGTTGATTACTGTAACTGCAATGATTCACAGTTCAATATGTCATTCTACATGACCTATCTAGCGAGGTGGCCTGACTATTTCCATGTTGCCGAAGCACCAGGAAACCATATCATGGGTTACAGTAAGCTCTCTCAAGTTCATATTTTCCCAATTCTCATTCTCTTTGGTTTCGTAAATTTTGTGTCCTTTTTACAACTTTTAAGCTTGCAGTGTTTGTTTCTGGATTCAAATTTCATTGCTTGTTTCTGTATCTGGGTTCTTGTAGTTTGCCTTAGCATGTTGGATGAAAAATTCAGTTTGGTCTAAAGTTTCTAGAAGTGGGTGCCAATTCTGGGCTTGAATTTTGGTATTTTCTTCTGAGTTGGAGAGATAAGAAAGAGTAGGCCGTGCCCTTTTTCTCTTTTCGGCCTTCCAAAGAGTAGGCAGTGTTGGATCAGCAAATAATGTTGAGAAATAAATTCTGCTGTGAAATGATTGTTAAGGTTAAACCCCTTCCCAACCCTTTGCTAGATACTAGAGCATTGCAGTTTGATTTTGTAGGCAGCATGAAGGATTGTTTGATGAGAGGTGGTTAATGGAGAATGCATGGTGGTGTTACAAGGAGACTATAATTATCTTGTTTTGATTGTTAACAAGGGAAATGGGGAAAAGAAAAGAATAAAAAACCTTGCCATGGACTGATCATAAATTTTTAAACTTGATCATGTCTTGCTGTTAAGAATGAAGTTTGGATGTAGTAGGTTTTCCTTTAGCAACTATGAACATTATAAACAACTAATGACTGTTGTATTTGCAATAAAATATTGATTCTTGTTAGGTTTGCAACTGCATGGCCTTAAACATTTCATTGTTTGCAGTTGTAATGTTAGTGTTGCAACTGCATGATTGTCGTTATCTTTTTATTCCTCTCTCCTACCCCAACTACCCACAGAAGATTCTTGGTTCTGTGTGTAAGAGCTCTTGGAAGGCCTGTGGGGTATCCAGATCTAATGCTATGAAATGCTTGCAGTTATGGGAAAAGTTGAAGGACAAGGTGAGTCTTGGCATGGTCATGTAACTGCAGTAACTGTTGCTCCAGAATATCGTAGGCAGCGATTGGCCAAGAAACTAATGAACCTGCTGGAAAACATCAGTGATAAGATGTAAGAACGACTAATGCTAAGTAAAGTTGGATATTTTTCCTATTATACCTATGTTTGTTTACCACTGGAGTTTAAGCAAAATATACAATGGCCATGGAGGTTTTATCAAGTCATTTCTTTTTGTATCTTTGTGCAAAGTTTCCCTTTTTGTTGCATACATTTTATGTCCCATTGATTGTGAACCTAACTGAATTTTCTGTGCCTTGTGTATTATGAGGATTCTTTTTTCTTCTGTGTAGTAATTAATTTGTTTTCTCTTGCTTAGATTAGACGTATTAATCCTTTTCACATCCTAGTTTCTGATTTTTTTGCACAAAATTCTGTTTTCAATTATATGATTATTTATGATTTTATTGACCCTATTCCTTATATCTGATGGCTTGGTTTTGATGATGATTCACTCTGCATGAATTGGTAACTGTTGTGATCAGCAGGAGATCTGTGTTATCTCTACCCTGGCTTTCAAAAGGTTAGTTAGTATCAGGGGATGGGGAAGGGGGAGGAGCAGTATGGATGTAAGAAAGATTAGCTTAGGCTATCTATTGCACTTGTCTTGAAGCCACAATTAGCACATTTATTGCTTAGGATATGGAGGCTGGAGTGTTGAGTGGATGCCACTTCCTTCCCCAACAAACATTTCATGGGGAAGGAGAAAGGCTGGAACAAAGATGTAGAAATACCATAGTGTGGCATAAGCTGATATTTTAGTCCTTTTCTACATGTTTATGGAAAACATGTCTAGGAAAATTATGGACCAAAGTATTTTTTATATATATTTAAAAAAAAATTCAATGTGATTTCAGCTCAAATTTGACATAGTGGTCAGCATTCAGCAATCAGAATTTATGATGCGTTAAACTTGAGTTTGGAGGCTGGTCACAAGATTGATTGCAATCCCATTTTTAGTTTAATGATCTGGAGGTGGTTTTTTTTTTCCTACTTTGCAATTGTAGGTTGTCATTGACATCCATGTCATCCTGGTCCTCAATTTGCACTAAAAAATTTCAAAGCTTTTATTTTTGATGTGGGTAGTTACCATAATTATTACCATCATTTGCAGAGGTCTTGATTGACTGGCATAGGGAGTTCTTGATGTGAGCCATAAATCCAGGTTGAAAGTAATGATAGTGGAGTGTTTAGAACAATTTTGTTAAGTGCAATCACATGCTTCTGTGTATGCCTATGTTGAAAGATTACTTTGATGCTCACCTATTGTTGAATTACAATAATAGACTGCACCTGTATGCACCTGTATACACTGCCTTTGAATTTTCTCTTGACACTTGAGTTCTTTTGGGATGACATCCACTTGTTAGCATAAGTTGGACCATATCGGAGAACCATATATATTTTTGGTCTTGTACATGTCATTATTAAAGTACAATAATTTGGCTCACCTTTTCTTTTCGGTGCATTCGAATGAAAGGAATCAATCTTATTGACTTGTCTGTGTGGCAAGCAATATTGTAGCACTGATGTATCACTTGATTTCATGTTCCCTCTATTATTGACAAGATTTTTATTTGGCAGTGATAAGGCGTATTTTGTGGATCTTTTTGTGAGAGCTTCAAACACACCTGCGATAAAGATGTATGAAAAGGTCACATTCCTATCATTTTGCCTTTTAACTTGGACATTTCTTTCTGTTTTATTATTTTATTCCTTTTCACCCGTTCTCTTTTGTAAAACAGTGGCATGCATTCATAGATGTACCCTTTTGTTGTTGTTTAGAATTTTTTGCTTCTCATAGAGATGATATCGAATTTTAGAATATGTTTGTCTTCTTTTTCTGTGGTTTCATATGTGCAACAATCTTAAAATTTTGGCATTAAAGGATAGCCTAAACATATGACCAAACTCTCTGAGAAATTGAACGTAGTTATCTACCATATTTGACAGTGATATATAGCCATATAAACAGAGAAAATTACCAGAAAATGCCAGTTAAAGGGCAGAGTTTTAATGGACTTGTTTATACTTATTTAAGGCCTATTCCTTTGCATTGCTTCAAATATTGGCAAACTACCCCTTTGTTGCTGCTGTTTGCGATCCTATTTATCGATTTCAGGATGAACATTGGTTGGACTTGCGGGATTGCTTTCCTTCACCATACTGTGACATCTAATAGGCTAGCTTCCTCACACCATTTCAATTATCAAAAGGAGTTACTAGTGTACTTAAGCATGAAAGAGAATTAAATGGAGGAGAAAACTTTGTTTCCTTTGTTGACCTAAAACAAGTTTGACCTCTGCTTTGGATTCCTTTTCCTACTGAAGGAAATAGGAGTGCACGGAAACAAAACTGGTTTTTCATTGAGTGTCAGATGTCTTAGATGATGCTGGTCTCTTTAGTATTTACTTCTTACTATCAAGGCAGTTGCATCTAACCGCCCAAAGTTGGAGGATCTGATAGAATCAGCAGTTGTGTAGATGGAGCAATATTCTTGCTTTCCCTCTTTTTCCCCTTTTCTTCTCTTTCTCTGTCAGTCATGTAAGTCTAGCAAACAAACTCATTCCACATGCTATTTCTTTCTGCAGCTTGGGTATGTAATATACAGAAGGGTGCTTCGATATTACTCAGGGGAGGAAGACGGGTTAGGTAAGTGGATATTCTTGTGCGGCCTGAATGGACCTCTGGGGTCACTTGTATCAGCTCTAACCTATTTTTGTGATCTATTTTCAGATATGAGGAAAGCACTATCCAGGGACGTTGAAAAGAAGTCAATCAACCCCCTCAAACATCCAGTGACACCTGATGAATTGGAGTATGACTAATGTACGTTCTTTATATGGAATTCCTAGTTCCTACTTCTTTGATGATTGATGCATCAATATCCTCTTGAAATGCAAAATGGTGTATAAGTTTAAACATGTCAAATATAATGTTAACTAGACATTTTAAGTATTGGACAGTTGGTTTTCAATGCCAGCTTGTCATTTGTGCAATCTACAGTTCTGACACTCATAATTGTCGTTTTTAATGTGCTTGACAAACACAATATGAATTGCTTCTCCTCCTTTGTATTCCTGCCCTGTTCTTTAGATTTTGTACAATGAAAAATCCGCAGGAAGAAAACAGGATATTTTATCCGAAGAAAACAGATCTTTGCCATATCTGTTTTTGTGATACTGATAGTGAGTTGAAAGCTGGAAGGCCCCCCCCTCCCAAGAAGCTCGCCGTAACTCATTGTTGCTGGCGATGAAGCCCAATTAATTGATGTTGGGAATGGGTCCCCGGCCATATTCATGTTTGCCGTTATGACAACAGAGAAACAAGCAGGAACAATTGCCGCACGTGCCCCACTCCAACATCACAATCCAAAATCCACAAGGGCTCAACCAACAGTGGACATCGAATCAAAGGACATTTGCTTCATTTTACCATAATGAGTTTTCCGCCAAATGACCCCTACCCGGCTACCCCCCCTCTCTGCTTTCATCTCTTTTTGCTTTTTCCATTCAAAGTCTTTTCTTCCTACTGAAATGTTCAACTGCACAATGCTTTCTCTTCATTACCTGAGAATTCTATCTCCGTTCTGGATTTTTGACAGATACCTGAAGCCATTGTCAATTTTTTTAGTACACATTACTCGATATGTGATAAGCATTCATAAGTGGAGGTGAGTCTGATTTTCCTCCAATCCACATCTGTTCATGCAATTCCCACTTCATTGTGAAGAACGGACTGTCACACCTTACATAGATGAGATGCTGTCCGCCATTGTTCTTTTGGTGGTGTTGTCTTTACAATTAGGAGAGTAACACGATAGAAACCAAGTCTAAAAGAGTGGAAACAACATTGTTGTGATTTAAGCACATATATCCACTAACTAAATTAGTGCAAAAACCATCTGCTTTTGTATTTAATGGGATTAGTCATTTCAGAACATTAGTTTATGGCCGGCCAGAATTTGAAGGGTTCTGTTGGTCTGATTAGTCAGTATATTTGCTCCTAAGTTCAATGGCAGAAATTTAATGCTCGAAAACGTGGTAAATTTTTATGAATTCCATAGTCCTGACATGAATCACCTAACTTTGACTATGAATGTAATGATAAGAATATATGAATTATTAAATCCAATGGCACTTATATTTGTGATTAAGAAAGCAATTATGCACAATGAATAGGACAGCATTCCAAGTTCAACCAACTGCTTCAAAAAGTACTTTAGCAATGTGAAAGTTAATCGTCCCCAAGTCACAATGGGCAGCATAGTAAAAGCTCCTTGCCACCATCAAAAACGTTTGCTTCAAAGAAGTATCTATGTCGTCTGAGGAGTTTTGCAGCACTAACTGGACAAGTTCTTGCATCTCTGTCTCTATTTTCAGGTCCATGATGCCGTCTGAATCAGTCACATAGTTTCCATTGTCATGTTCCTGAAACAAGAATAAAAAACTGAGCATTTGGACAACAAAAACATGATGAAGTAGCATATTGTGTCGTGGAAGTCATATCTTATATATCTTGAAGTCTTAAAAACACATGTAATGAATCCAAACTTAAACGGTTAAATTATAGTAAATCTTTAGCGAATTGATGTTCTATATTATATTAGCCACAATGTAGAGAAGATGTTAATGAAATCAAGACAAAAAAATTAAGTAGATTCTGGCTGGCTTGGTACAACTGCGGCCTCACATACTAACCTTTAGCATTTGGTAGCGACTGAGCCGATGACATACTCTATTAGAGAGGTTAGTGAGTCTTTCATAGTTAGGATGAGACAATGAATCCTCCAAGCGCCATGGCCCGGAGTTTAGATTTATCGTTTTCACCAGCAACTCTGCCGCCCCTTTGTACATGTCGCCTTCCTCCGCCCACAGCACCAACCATTTCTCCCACTGAATTAAGAAAAAATTTACGGAAAGGAACAGATTAAGGAATTGGAATTAAGTTCTTTGGCGGTATGTAAAGAAGAAAAACGAATCATGTTGATGTTGAGTTGTACTAACAGCATGGCGTAGATAAGGGCCAATCTCTCTACCACGCGCCACCAGTGCGTCCAAGGACAGGTGGTTCAGGGTAGTTAGCAATGTGCCAATGAGATCCCGTCTTGCCCTTTTTGTCACCCATCTTCTGCAGTCAAATACGACATGTATGTTAATAAGACATTGATTTAGTGATTAAGGACGTACTAAGATACAAGAGAACCGTTCAAATTGGCCGCTATTAAATAATTAAAGAGGAAAACATCAACATGTGTATTATGTATATGTCAATGTCTTGTATAGGCAGATTCGATTTCTTGGAACTCATATATACCATCCCTTGGATTTACTTTTATGGACGTTAAACAAGACAAAGTCATGCATTATTCAAGGCTGTACCTTCCATTGATGTGTCCTGCAGGTGCAAAATTAGAATTGATGTTTTTGAACTCTTGGACGAAGGCCATTCTCTGCTCGCGGGAGTTGATCTCATCATCAAAGTAAGACGAGATTGTCTCCAGTAGGAAAACTGTCTTGGCCCATGCAAGTCTCTCCGGCAACCTTTCAGGCTCAAAAATACTGGCCGCTGCCAGAAAGTAAGATACAAGAAGGGATCTTCTGCTCATTCCAAAATCACCGAATTTGCCTTCTGTGAACCATCTGCACCATCCAAAATTCCAAATCGTTGAACCATTACATACACACAATTAATTGAAATGATTAATTAAAGAATTTTATAGTTAATTTTTTTTTTCTTTTTGGGCTTACTTTTGCATACTGTCCCACTCCTTTCTGTGGAGAGCTTGGCAATTGTTGAAATCCAGCTTAGCTAGTTCAAGATAGACATTATTATTCACATAGGGCATCCTGAAAAGTAATAAAGAATTATCTTTTCATTAGTCTCTTTCTATCAAATCAAAGGGGATTGCCGACTTAAAAAAGCATATAATAGTTTTACATTTTTAGTTCAGATCACTTAAATATTTAATCACGTTGAGATAAAAAAAAAAAAGAAGAAAAGAAAACCATTTTAGAAAAATAAATTTGTGAAACAAATCTCAGCGTGGGTCCTTAATGTTTGACTAATTTATGCTTGACTTGATAAGGGTGAAGTTACATAAATGTTTTAATGATATAATTTTGAACAATCAAGAAGAAAAAAAAAAGGAATGGGTACCTGTAAAGAGTCTTGCCGATCCAAACGTCACCTTGACCACCATATTGCTCTATGTAAAATCTGGTCTCCACTCTTGGCATGCTCGCATACCAGGGAAACTTTAATGCAAATCCTACCTGTTTAGCATTAATTAATTATTACATATAATCATTTTTTCCTCTGGTGCTATGAGTAGCTTGCCTTAGTGGAAAATTTTTTTAGGAGGGGTAAAATGAAACTTTGTCTAGATGAAGTGTTTACTTGTCAATTAAAAGTAGGTAGAAGAAAACTATTTTTTTCAAAAAAGGTTTTTTAGATAAAATTTGTTAATTTTTAAAGATAAACTAACTATAGGTAAATGTGGTATAAATCCTATTAACCGCGAACATATACATATTTGTTGGTTTAGACAATGAAGGTGTTTTCGGGCCCACCTCTAATAATTTTCATGACAATTTAAAAAATGTATCTTTCAATTTGACTTGATATATTTAAAAAATAATAATTTTTTTAAATACTAACTTTAAAATTTAAACCATATACTTAATTTATAAGATATTTAAATAAAACAAGATACTTAAATAAAAGATACTTAAATAAACATATTGATTATAAGAACACTAATGAATAAAAAATAAAACGCAAAATAGTATTAGTAAACAAACACTTTTTGAAAGAATATTATTAAATAATTTTTCATTTAATTAATATTTATTTTTTCCACTTTCATACTATCCTTATTTTAATTATCTTTCTCATCATTACAAAAAGTAGCTATACTAATAAAAAATTAAAAAAATAATTGTCATGATATGAAATAAATAAAGAAAGAACAAAATTAGAACTAATTGCTAAACTAATAATTTTACAAAAGTTTGGGTAAAAAAATTCAATATTTTAATTTAGTTGTCATATTTTTAAAATATAATTATAAAACAAAAAAATTTTGTGCAATAAAAACTACAAAACCATAATTATGTATTAAAAAAGGCCTCAAGGTAAAACCTTTCTCTCCAAAAATTAATAGTTTATCTTTCATAATCCGACTCAGTTTAAACTTTAAAAAAAAAAAAAAATTCCCTCATAAAATACGGTTACATAAAAATACAATCACTACTGCCAAGTTTAAATGGGACAATAGGAGTAACAGACAAACCTGAATCTGTTGTGGGCCCTTTTTTCTAGTGACGAACGTAAAAGAAAAAACGTTCTAAAAGTAGAAAAAAGAAATAGATTAGTTTCTCAACCATACTTCACCAGGCAAGTCTTTCATTATGATCCACTTGTCCAGCAGCTTCTTAGCAGCCTGTTTTTCCCTCAAGAACTTGAACGAAAACTTCTTCGCTTCCTCAAGAATCTTTTCTTCTGGAAACATCACCTGCGTCGCCCTGTACAGGTTGAAAATTCCGGTCACCGCCTGGTTCGACTGTCCCGCAAAGCAGAAGAACTCCCCGCTTTTCTTGAAGTCTCGAAATACATCTGTAATTTCGGACGTAATCATCAGTTCCAACACATACCGATAAACAATTCTACGTACTTAGTTATTGCAAAGGTTTGAATTACTCGAACTTACCTGCAGAAACCTCGTAACCGTGTAATCTTAATATCCTGAAACCCATGGCGGTGTCATCAATGTCTTGGACTCCAGTATTTCTTGCCCATGAGATTCCATCTTTGGTCCAGTATCTGTAAACATACTCCACACAATCTTTAATCTCTGGCTGGAAATATCTTGAAATCCCCAGCCGCTGTAGTCGATCAACAACCCAGATGTGCTCGAAGAGGTCGACTGGGTACACATTTGGGACTAGAGAAAACAATTGAACACACAAATTAAATTAATAAAAGTACATTAAAAAAAGCACTAAATATAATTATTTACCTACATCATTTTTTTTTTTTTTAAAAAGAAGAACCAACTATAATTACCTCCGCCATTGAATTTGCGGATAGCTTTGTTCAAATATTGCAAACAGTTTCCGTCTTTTGTTTGCATGAGTGCGAAGGCAGTGGAGGATGGAGAGGAGAGGAATGATCCATCAATGCACTGCAATTTCAAAAGCTTTTCCCATTCCAGCTCTGGCATCCCCTCCAAGCTATGGAGTAGAGTTGTGGGCACATTTTGCATTATGTCCTTTGGTATCCTATGCAACACCCATAATTATTACACTCCACACATCTAAAAGATTGCACCATTTCTTTATCTATGCAGAGGATAAGGGCACTATCATTTCCATTCTATGTTATAAAATTATAAAAAGAGAAAGAAACACAATAGTGGCCTAAAAGACACGATTCCTTATGCATCACACTCACACTTACTTTGTAAGCTTTAGATTTCTCTTATTGTATATGTCTTCAAACACGGGAGAGTCGTAGGGAATCTCGATGTTTAAACTACCAGCGATTTCGAGAAGAGATGGAAAAGCAACCTCGAACCCGATCGGCATGTGCTCTGCATTCTCCTTTTCGAGCTTGCTTAAATTTTCATTAAAAAACTTCACGCCTTTTTCAAATATAATTAATTAATTAGTCGAGTTAAAAGTTTGAATAATATATTTTAATAAAAGGAAAAACGTTGGAGAATGTTTGTACCTTTCGCGCATTGGTCCAGATGAATATTCCATGATTTCAAAGCAACAACACAAGCTAAAGTGTTGATGAGACGATCGTGGGCGGAGAATAATTCGCTGTCACCCCAAGAACCATCGGAAAGTTGATTGTCGGCGATCCATCGGAGGGAGGAGGGGAACTGGGGAGCGCCGCTGCCGTGGATGTCCTTCACGAGAGCGACCCACGCGGTGTCGTAGGCGGAGATGGTTATTTCACCGTCGTCCATGGAGCACAACATGGATTTAACCGCCTCCACACGTTCCTTAATCTGATTCGATACAGGAACTTCGAAATCAACCACATGATCAATCTCATCATCCACAATCGGCTCCGGCCACTTTAACACCGGAAAACTATTTTGAAAGACCTCGGCGTATTCTGTGGAGAAAGTAGTAGGTGAGATCAAACACGCCAGCGGAGGGGAAATAGCAGTTACTACTTCAGTCGTACCTTGAATGCGAGGTTTGGACATAGCGATACATCGAGGGCGGCGGATATCAAGTGCACAACATAACCGCATGCCTATATATGTAAATGAAATGAAATTATATAAGTTGCATTAATAACTATTTAATCTTTTTTTACCCCAGTACAAAGTTAATTACATAAAGAATATTGTCCCGAAAACTAGACGGGCAATTTTAAATTTTGCAAACCGGAGAGGAAGCAAAAACCGGCTTTGGAGAGTGCTAAAGGGTATAAGAAAGGAATTTTAGGAGGAAAACATTCGATTCAAGAAAACAAAGCATAAATTCCTGAGAAATTAATCGATATGATTATTTCCCATTAAAGTAATACAAAAAGAAAGCAAAAAGAGAAAGAGAGAAAGAAAGGAGAAGGTGATAAACTAGGTGGTAGGCAAATGGGAAGTGGGACTTGAATTAAAAATGTAAAGAGGGATGTTAATGGATAAAGCGGAAGATAAAACAAACCTGTGAAAGGAGAAGGGATGTTGATAGGATGATTAGTATTAGCGATGGAAGGAATAGGAGGAGGAGGAGGAGGAGGA